GTTTCGAGGTCAGTAAGCACAACCAGAATAAATACATAAGGCGCACCGGATTATAAGGCTCACTGTCAATTTTTGAGAAAATTAAAGGATTTTAAGTGCACCTTATAGTCTGAAAAATACAGTACTGTGTGATGCTGGAAAAACTTGAAAAGTGCACGACTATAGAAATGATGTAAAATCAAATCAGTCTTTAGTGCTTCGGATTGTTTTTCTGTCGTCCATTGTACGTTTAGTTTTCCTAATTGGAAAAATAATTTCTCAGGCATGAAATATTTTGTAACATCTACCCACATCATGTGAAAATCCAGCTAGTTTTAGATTTTCAAAACTGCTTTTCCGATGCAGTCAATCATAAATGGGAACAAAACAATCACATAAGAAGTGAGGTCATATATCACCAACGTATTCATCTATTGGCATCAGTTAGTCAGTGGGCTTTTTATATTTTTTGTGATAGTCCAAAAAAGTTTTATTAGTCCAACGGGAGATCTGGACCCCTTACCCTTACTCTCAGCCTCGATGCTGATTGTACCATTCAGCTTTATTGTATTAGCCAATAATTGGTTTTGTTCCCAACAAGGACATTTTTTAATTAGTTGTCGTCCTCTCAACCAATGATTGTAATGTTGCACTTGCCAAGTTAATTACTGAGATCTTGAAGCTCTCCAACATTGATAAGAGATTTAAAACTACGAGCAGCTGAACAATCAATGAGCGTTTTGAACATGCTGCAAAGTCAAAGACATTAAGGATTAAAGTAATAAATTAACTATTTGCTTAGCTTTAAAAGATTTACTATTATGATTTTTGTGCACCAAAGAATGTGATGTTTTCAAAAAGCTTTGGCTTGTTTATTAACTTTTTCTCAACTTGATATAAGACCCCACCAACAAGTGGTCCAGGAACTGAAGTTATTAAAAATATTGTATTTTTTATAATATAAAAGAGCAAATCTCAGACATACGTGTTTTATTACTCTATAACACAGATAGAGCTGGATAAATGAGCATGCAGTGATGTCACTGTTATGATACGCTTAAAGAGTGATAAGCAGAGCGAACATCATATTGTCAGCTTTTGTGCATATCTCACATTTCTGCGCTTCAAGGCTTTGATCTCACCCGAGCTGTCTTTACAAGCCACTGTTTGTCAGTCATGCATCTTGTTTTTTCTTCCTCTCTCTCTGTCTGTCACTCTGTATTTTTGTTCACCATCTTCTCTTTCCCTCACCCCTTGATTCACAATCATTCTCCTTGTTTCCTCTCACCGGTGAGCTTTCCTCCCTGACCCAGTTGCGTTACTCGACACACTCTACGACGCACCTCTCCGCTGACCCTCTGCAGACATGTTATTATTAGTTAACCTCCGCAGGAGCCTTCTGCGTGTAGCTGACAGGTATGCATTGTAAGTCCTGACAGCAAACAGTCATTGCTGTCTGTCTCGCTGTCTGCAGGAGTGTGACAGAGAAGCGCCATGCGTCTCAGCTCGGATGAGAATGTGGTGCCTCATGCGGTGTCGTCTGCACGCCCGTATGTGGGAAAATATCCCACTTCCTGCTGCTTACACAAAATCATGTTGCGAATCTGTGCATTCGTATAAGACAGTAAAGCTCTCAAGGATGCCGTCTATAATGCATCACCTTTTTTTTTCTGCATTCAACAATAAAGTCATTAAATGTATTGGCTTACCTAACAGTATTTGATGCTGTTTAAAATGTTGCAACTCCACAGTCTCCAGTGTTTGAATTGAGAAAGCGTCCTGGATGGGATATTAAACATTTTGAACTATAGAGTAAAACTAGTTGTTTTGTTGTATAATTTTGGGGGGTATTTACCAAGAACTTCCATTTGTCTTCGACAGAATTTATAGTTCATTAGATTTTTTTTTAGGGATGATGTTTGCTAATTTGTCTCAGTTGTTGGTTAAAGATGAGCAAGAGAAGTGATGCCAGAACGACTTATTAAATAGATTTATGCAACAATTTTTTTTTTTTGCGTGTGTTTGTTTTTCAACCTGCTGAGCCACGCAGAGAGGTTGAGGAAGAGTCTGCTCTAAAAGCTCAAACACAATATTGAGTTCAGTGCAGTTATTCCCTATGGGGAACCAGCAATAAAGATGCATCTAATTATTTATCAGCATGCAATAGAGCAAGGAGAGCAGTCTGTAATAGACTTGCAGAACTACGGGGGTATAAAAAAAAAAAAGAGGATGGAAATGGCTCTCTCTATGGAGTACCTTATTGTAGTTATTAGTTTTGATAAATTATATCAGGTTGGAACTGTTTTACCAAAAATTATTTATTCTGTCCAAGAAGCAAGAGCCATTCTTTTTTGTTGTGATCATCTTCACTGAACTGATGTCTCTGTACTGTCTCTTTGTTTCCATTCTTGTTAGTTTATCTATCATTCACTCTTTGTCCTTTCCATCTCAACTCTCGTCCTCTGCGTGACCTGGGACAGATTTGAAAGGATGGAAACATGCGCCAGGCTGTCATGCAGATTGGTTCAGCTTACGAACCCTCAAGTCACAAAAAGCCATTACAAAAGGGAGGATGAGAGTCATTCTTATACCTTTTCCTGAAGAATCGTTGGTTTATATTGAGGCAAACATTAAAATCATCTGTCCTTTGTTTTAGTTTATTTTTCTTGGTAACCAGAGCAAAGGAAGTTGTAAGTGACAGACAGCAGACTGAAGATAAATGTAAACATTCTGAAACAGCTCGGACAGAAATTACTCATATGTTTGTGCTATTATGTCAAATAACTTCATGGAAAAATAAAAAGCTACTTCACCATCAAACAAGCACAATAAATAAATTTGTTTGATTATGAAACATATTGCAAAAATGTATATTGCTTTATAGAATTAGTTTGGTTGTATGTAAAAAGTTTGGCAAAAATTCACATTGTGCATTAAATATTGTTTTCTAGCTACAAATTGTTTCTATTGTTTCTTTCCTTTTTTCATGTTTTAATCCAAATCTTACAGCGATGACCAACAGCACTGGTCACTGTGTGTGCACCAACAACACTGACATTGATTTTATGTCTGGAACTGTCTGTACAGATGTAATGCAACTCTTCCATTAAGTCCATCATTCATTATCTTTATCTGCTTCTTTATTTCAGAATGTATATCCAGTGTTTCCCCATCATTATACAAGCGGGGCGCCCCACCCCGTCAACAGAACCAAGCGCCCGCCTACCGAACCAAACTACGTGCACACACACCTGTCAGCACTGGCGTAGCACTAAGCTAGCCGCACGCAGTACAGACATGCTAGCTAAAAAGTTAAAGGCAGAGCTCACGCTGCCTCTTCCCCCACGCTGATGATCGAAAACTGCCGGTACAAACAGCGCACAGCTCAGACTCGTCTTCCCCCGTCCCCTCGACAAACATCACAGACAAGATGAGTGCCCTGCCATGTCAAGTTATCTAGGGGAAACACTGATATCTATATCTAAATGTGTGTCTGTGCCTTTAATTTATACAAGACACTGCAGATTTGTGCTTTTTGTGCACTTCTTTTCTTGCAGTGCAACACTGTAGCTAACACACGTAGCATCACGCCAATTATTTCGAGAGCGATGTACACCCACCTCAACTGTGCGACTGTTTTCACATCAGACCGATTCAGTTCATTTATATAGTTCCAATTCAAAACAGTTATCTGAAGCACTAATTAAGAAACTGTAAAAAAAAAAAAAATGTTCGAATCATGAGGTCAGTTTAGATCCATATTCAAATCATATTGCAGTAGATTTGTTTCTTCTCTAATATGGTACATTCACAGACATTACATCATAAAATCAGTAAATCAGTGTTTCCCCTACCATTATCTAAGGAGGGCGCCCCACCCTATCAACCGACAACCCCACCACCGCAATTTTCGCTAGCGGTTGGGGATCAGAGATAGGACTGAAGGACCAGTCGCTACAGGATAAGTTGCTTCGATCTAGCGTTAGTAACGCAGGGTTCCGCTACATGCCCTCCCCCACATTCTTTTTTTTTTCCCCACCCCCCAACTCCTGTCTGACAAGCGCCCTGCTTTGGCCAGTAATCTAGGGTCAACACTATAACTGGTAAATTAGTCAAACTAATCAAACTAGGGTGAGCAAGCAGTTCAGTCTTCACTTTCTTACTGTCCTCCATCCCGAGCAGCACATTGGCAACAGCGGAATGAGCACGTCCTTTTTAACAGGAAGCAACGTCCATCAGAACCGGTCTCAAGATGAGCAAATATTTGCCTCTGATGGCAGAGGGTAGAGGATAGGAGAGAGACACAGACAAGCCAAGAAACAGTTGGTTTAGGTGTAGTTTCTATGGGAAGAAATAAAAACAAAAACAAATGCAGGTTAAAAATAGCAATGATTCCATGCATAAAAAGTGGACAGTAGAGTAAAAACTGCAGTCTAATAATAAAATGTCAGTATAACTAAGAGGAAGCTCAGGAAATCCAGGTCAATCCTAGCTATAGAATTTATCATAAAGTTGTCTTAAGCCGAGTCTTAAAAGTAGACAGTTTCCAGCCTCGTAGATTGAAACTGTAGGTGTTTCCCTGTTTCTCAGCCTGATACCTGAAAACTCTGCCTCACATTCTACTTTTAGATACTCTAGGAATCACAAGTAAACCTGCAGTCTAAAAAGTAATCCGAATGCTCTTAGGAAAATGAATGTTTACTAATGTAAACAGAATAAGACAATTTCAGTGTCAATACTGAAATGAAGTTTGTCATATCAGCCTGATTTGCACAAATAAAAGCTGCTACCTGCCAATTACAGTAAAAAAGTTCAAGTTTATATTAATATTATTAATATTTTGCAGTTTCAGATTCCTTTAAAATTGATATAATTTTGAGGCTCTTTTTCCCTCTTGGTGTGTATAGGTGAATTATCAAGTGCAGTATATAAATCTCAAATGTCTGTTCCATTTGACATGAATTTATACTTAACAATTTGATAACAGCACGTGTGACGTAATTTCTATGCTTGTGTTTCAGGTACCAAGACATGAGAAGACAGATTGGCTTCGAAATCAGGGATATGTGGTACAATCTAGGTAATTTTACCCGTTCAGTCTGTCAGCACAGCTCATTTTCACTTCTCATGAAGAAAGTTTATTTTCTGCATAAAAGTCACACCACTTTGCAGCTGATGTGAACAGCAACAATGGCTTCTTAGTTTGTGTTTATGATTCTATGCAAATTAAGTATCCTGGAAGTCATTATCTGTCAGCCGTGCAAATATCTTTAGCTGAATATATACTCTCATGTGTTAATTGGTTTTTGAGCATTCTGTAGCAGTCAAGTCTAAACTAGAATAAAATTATACTGCAACACGGGGAGTCGAGGGTTGGGTTTGGCGACTCCCCTTTCATCATTACCAAAACCTCTTGAGTTTGTACATTGATACATTTGTTTGAGATGTTTTGGGTACAATAGACTATTTTTTGTTTATTTGTAAGTGTCTTATTCTTTGTTTTAAGGCCCCCACAAGATCAAATTCATCCCCGAGATGGTGGGTCCAATTCTGGAGATGACGCTGGTTCCTGAGATCGAGTTGCGAAAGGCCACCATCCCCATCTTCTTTGACATGATGCAGTGCGAGTTTCACTTCACATGCAGCTTTCAACGTGTGCGTATTCTAAACCATGTAGTAAATGTTTTCAAATATAAAAAGGATCGTAATATTTGAGAAGTATGAACAAAACTACGTCAAAATGCAAAAGCAGGAGTATATCTTATATGTTTCTTAACCCAAAACTTTCTTGTTTTTGCTCCCATTTTTTCATGAACTGAACTCAAAGATTTAAGACTTGTTCTATGTACACAAGAAGCCTCTCAAATATTGTTCACAAATGTGTGTAAATCTGTGTTAGTGAGTGCTTCTCGTTTGCTGAGATAATCCATCCACCTCACAAGTGTGGCATATTAAGATGCTGATTAAACAGCGTGATTATTGCACAGAAGGGCCTTAGGCTGCCCACAATAAAAGGCCATGCTAAAATGTGCAGTTTACTTTTACTGCATTTGGGAGGGTCAGAAAACCAGTCAGTGTCTTGTGTATCATATCTCCTTGATAGAGTTGGTCAGGTTGTTGATTGTGGCCTGTGTAATGTTGGTCCACTCGTCTTCTAAGGCTGTGAGAAGTTGCTGGATATTGTCAGGAACTGGAATATGCTGTCATATACACCAATCCAGAGCATCCCAAACATCAGAGTCAGAGTTTCTTTATTGTCATTCGCACCTCATGTGGTACATGCGGTGGAGCGAAATTATGTACACAGGGTCCCAGTTACATCCAACAATAAAATGCAAAAGAAAAACAATGATAACAAACATGCTCAATGGGTGACGTATGCTGGCCATGCAAGAACTGGGATGTTTTCAGCTTCCAGGAATTGTGTGCAGATCTATTATGTCTTTTGATCTACACTGCCTGGCTACAAAAAAAAAAATTTTAAGTCGCCACATGGGTTTATCTAAGCAAATAGGTACAAGCCTCTTATTGGATAATTACTGCATGGGTGATTATCTTTCAGCTGGCAACAAGTTATTTAACGCCAACTGGTGCAATGAGTTGCTTCTCATTTCTTAAACAACCATGTTGAAAGGCACATCGTGTGGTCGTGGAAAAGATGTCAGTCTGTTGGAGAAGGGTGAAATCAATGACATGCATCAAGCAGAGAAAACATCTAAGGAGATTGCAGAAACTACTAAAATTGGGTTAAGAACTGTACAACACATTATTAAAAACTGGAAGGATAGTGGAGACCCATCGTCTTTGAGGAAGAAATGTGGCCAGAAAAAAATCTTGAATGATCGTGATCGGCGATCACTTAAACGTTTGGTGAAATCAAATGGAAGAAAAACAACAGTAGCACTCAGGGCTGTGTTTAATAGTGAAAGTAAGAACATTTCCACATGCACACAATGTGAAGGAACTCAAGGGATTGGGACAGAAAAGCTGTGTAGCCTTAAGAAAACCACTAATCAGTGAGGCTAACTGGAAAAAAAAAGGCTTCAGTTTGCTAGAGAGCATAAAGATTGGACTCTGGAGCAATGGAAGAAGGTCATGTGGTCTGATGAGTCCAGATTCACCCTGTTCCAGAGTGATGGGTGCATCAGGGTAAGAAGAGAGGCAGGTGAAGTGATGCACCCATCATGCCTAGTGTCTAGTCATCACTGCAAGATCTTAGTGAAAAATTAATGCAACACTGGATGGAAATAGATCTTGTGACATTGAAGAAACTTATCGAAACAATGCCACAGTGAATGCATGATGTAATCAAAGCTAAAGGCGATCCAACAAAATATTAGTGTGTGATTTTTTTTTTTTTGGCCAGGCCAAATTTTGTAAAGATCAAGATTTCAGATAAAAAGGCCTGTTGTGTACATTTGAAAAAATACTTACCTGGTATATCTTGGAGTTCAGCTCATGAAAAATGGGAGCAAAAACAAAAGTTTTGTGTTTATATTTTTGTTCAGTATCTGTAAATCTTTTGTTGCGCTTCAACAGGCATAATAAGTGGAAGTTGTCCGTGAGTTTTACAGTGTAGTTTAACTTCTGTATTAGTAACTCTATTTGAATGCAACTGTTCAGTTTGACGATGTCTCAAGCAGGTTTCAACCCTCAGAGGCGGCTCCCAAATTATCTAATGCTAGCGTCACTCGTATCAAATTGCTTTAAAAAAATCTTCCTTTTGGCCTTTGTGGTCTTTTGAAGATGGGGAGATTTTACCCAACACTGGTCTTCAATTAGAAATCAGCAAGTTCCATCTAAAGGATTGTTTTCTTAGCAAAAGTCCAGAAAATGTTCTGTATATTTAAATTGTATTGATAATGACAGCGATGCTAGTTTTATTCATTCAGCAGATTGTCTTTTCAGGTCTGCACCTCTGTGGAGCTGACAGCTTTCCTCTGCAGAAAGAAACCACAGGCTAGACGAGGGAATTATCATATATGTTAGAAAATCTGCGCCACCTGAAGTGAATTACTGTTAATGCAGGGAAAGCTGCTCTGCCTAAAATTATTTACTGTAATGTGTTAAATAGCTGCACAATCTAACTTTGTGGTGTCTTGAACTACCATAAATTGCATAAACGCTGCACTGTCTAAAATTATTTACCTTTAATACTAAAAAACTGCGCCACCTAACATGAATTATAGGAAATAGGCAATTTATTTGCCTAAAATGAATTACCGTTATGTTTGTGTAGGGAAAACTTTGCTTTCTAAATGGAATTACTGCAAAATGTAGAAATCCTGCACGAAGTTAAATGAAATACCATGATTACTGAAGAAAAACTGTGCCGCCTAAAATGAAAAACTAAAAGCTCATCATACCCCACCTAGAAGCTTATTATGTTATAGCCCATGATACAACAGCATGCCTTACTAAAGTGCCATCTAGCGGCTGAGAATGGTAGTGTTCGATTTTTTTCAGTCAGAATGAGTGAAACGGTCATATATCTCAGCCAAAAATTGTTTTATAAATATGGGAAAAAATCCATAAATACATTGCTTCGGCCTAAAAGTCGCAGGGCATGCAAATTATGCAACAAACTGTGACTCATACAGCGAAAAATACGGTAATTTGGGTATAGATCTGGGCCACAGTCTGTAAATTTAGGCATTCCTATGTTAAACCATTTTTTGAGGATAAAAGTGGAAAAAATTGCTCAAGATCTGGGATATTAAAGTTAAAATTTTATGTTTTTATTTATTTGTCTTGTCCCCTTTTACGTGCTATCATTTATTTCACCTGCTTTCTGTCCTTTCTGAGCTGTAATTTCCTAACAGAGAACAGCATTTATATCTTGTCCTACATGGCCACTTTCTCCTGTTCTGTCCTTGTATTTGGTCAGTACACGAGTATATGAAGAAGTCGGTGAACACAGTTTCAGTGCAATAATATCTGTTCCTTAACAGCTGCTGCATTCAAATATTGGAGGTACAGGTCCATGCATCACTGTCAACAGCTCCAGCAACAACAGAGCAGAAGCAAAAAAGGGTCATGTCTCATGATGCAGTCCGTTTCCGTCTTCTAATAAAGTTTACACTGACAAAGAAAAGCTTCCGTAATGAACAGAAAACACGTTAACAGCCAGCTGGGCTGTGAGAAAGTGGCGATTAAAGTCGAGCCCCGGAGTCCCCCAGTCGAGTGTTGATGCAGGGAGAGGGTGAGACGGGGGAGATGGCGTTAATGAATTGAAAAATTAGCCACAGTGATTATTTACGCTTGCTCCGTCTAATTGCAGTTTGAGAACGAGATCATCACCAAGCTGGATCACGAGGTGGAGGGGGGTCGTGGAGATGAGCAGTACAAAGTTCTCTTTCAGAAAATGTAAGTGCTGATTAATGGGCAGGATAACGTCTGAGCCACTCACAACTTAGATAATGCTAATTGCAACATGGCACTCCTCAAAATAACCACAGTGCTGATAACTGCACGACTTCTCAACACAGCTTGCCTATTTTAGATATGCAATTAGACGCTTACGCTGTCCGTTTAGGATGAAAGTAATGTTTTCTTTTAAGCTTTTTTTTCTTTTCCACGTTTGACATTTTACTGCTAAAGCAACTTAAGAGTGTGTATCATCTCTTTCTTGTGTCCATAACAAAACACCGTTATTAAGATTGCTGGAGAACTGCCGGAAGCACGTGTACTTGGCCAGGACGGGGGAGAACTTCGTCACGTTGGTGGTGCGACTGCTGGAGAGGCTGCTGGACTACAGGACCATCATGCACGATGAAAACAAGGAAAATCGCATGAGCTGCACTGTCAACGTGCTCGTAAGATGGCTACTTTTACTTAGTAACACAAATACAACACTAATGGACATATATCTAATAAATTGGCTTTAATTATGCATGTCTACCCACAGATAAAATAAGCATTTTTCAAATGTTCGACGTTATTCCCTAGCAAGTCACCTGAACTACAACTTTATGTGAAATAGTATAATTAGAGGAAAACTAACAATATGTTTTTCTCACATTTTATAATAATTCTGAGATTGTGTTAACATTTTTGTCTGCTCCATGGCATAAGAGTAGACCTTAGGTGTTCTAGGAATGTGTTTCATGCACCAAGAGCACAATGCACATAAGCGTTGCAGCCGTTGTGGGACTTGTAACAATATTTTAAAGCTGTTAAATGTTCTCTCTGTTTGTGCCGTAGAACTTTTATAAGGAGATCGACAGAGAAGAGATGTACATCAGGTAAGATCCAGTCCGGCTTTGTGCTTCACAGGCTATGGTAACGCTTCTGAATGTTCATATATTTGAGGATTGTTACACAAAACACTGACATAAATTCTCTCCTGCTGCACATCTGAACTTTTTGTCTCTCAAACACTATTAGAAATAAAAGAGGTATTAAAAGAGATCGCTAAATAAACATATGGTAGGGACATATTTCTGAAATTTTAAAGTAGGGAAAGATTTATGAACAGAAAATATCTTACCTGTTGTAGATAGCTCATTTTACAGCCTCAGTTTAAAGAAATAGTTTTTTCCTGACTGGATTGATGAGCTAACTTGAGTTTGAACAGATCAAAGAGTGAATAGCTCCTTTTATACAACTGTGGTCCTAAAATGTTATAATCATGTAAATGTTCGTAAACAATGACATTTGAAAATCCGCGAAGTAGTGACATTATATTTATTTTTGTATTTATATATATTTTAAGGCTTTGGAAACTCTTCCCACACTCTTGTAATGTTCTAAACTCTTAAACCTGTGTAATTATAACAACATATGCATAGTACTGTATACAGTATGTAGCTGCTAAATTTTACTTACCAGTGTGTCCCACTTGGAGATCCTTGTGGGCTGGTTGAAAGAGATGAATAAAGTCCAGGTGGGCTCCGGATGGTGCACCAGAACTTCAGCGGCATGCATCCTGCTTGGAAGTCCTCGTGGGCTGGCTACCAGCTCTCAAAATTCACCGATGGGTCTGGAGGTCTGGTTCTGCTCCAGTTCTGGTCCAGTTCTGGTCCGGTTCGAGGGGTTCTGTGCAGCTCTCTGCATCCGCCAGGCGCCGAAATCACTGTAATAAGTGCCAAACTTTTTCCGATCAGATCAAAACTTTCCCTCTTGTATTGTATTGTATTTCAGCAGAAGGCAACAGAACAGAACTAGGTGGGGCACTGTTGGCTTCTGGGAAATGTAGTCGTTATGAGTGGGGATACAGTGTAAGCTTATTGAGAGAAAACTACAAAATGGCGGCGCCTGTCCGATTTAATTTTTTCGATAACTTTATACTGTACAGTATCCAGTACTGTCCCAATCACATGAGAAATACTAAAGTTGACAATCGTGTGTCCTGTTTTTTTTTATTCCTCGTGTTCAATCTTACATTGAAAACCGCAATAGAGCGAGTCCACGAAAGTCGAACCGTGAAGTGGCGAGGGACTACTGTACATAATTATACAGAGAGATTTCTATGGTTAATAGCTATCTGTTGCACTTAGTTATTAGTTATTTTGAGTATAAAAGTTATTTTGAGAACAAAAAAAACTTTTGAGTTCAAGATGACCAACAATCCGCTTGGGTCTTGACTTCATTCAGATTAGCCATTAGCTTTGTATTCTGATCAGGATTACCCTATTTCTCGAAACCTGAGGTTGTTCAAAGTGCTATCTACCACAGGTAGGATATTGACCTTTGCACTGAAACTCTTTGAAATGTTCTGAAAAAATATTTTTGGTAAAGTGTGAATGGTTACTTAATTGGAAGCCCTACATGAATACTTTTTCTTACCAGGTACCTGTACAAGCTGTGCGACCTCCACAGAGAGTGTGACAATTACACCGAAGCTGCTTACACTCTGCTGCTACATGCAAAACTGCTCAAGGTACTCAGACAACATGGAAATATTCTGTATTTGCTTCTCGTCAATGCTAAGCTGTTTTCAGGCAAGTAGCATTTAACCTTAGGCTTCAAACAAATATACAGTATGTCTCTAAATTTAAATGTGCACAGAAATAAACGATTGATCTGCATCCATGTAAAATCAACCTTGGCATTAAATGGCTGCTGAGGGGGCAGAAATGCTGAGCAACATCTTTTTCACCCTGCCAACGTAAGTCATGGCTAATATGTAATCTTTCCTCCAAAAGAGAAAAAAATAATGAACAGGAGCACAGAGGAAAAGCGTTCTACTGCAAATTATCAAAGCTAGTGTAAACTGTGCTTTATGTGAGAAAACAGGCATATTTCTTATTTTTAATAGCTGTAAGAATAATGTTTAGTTCTTCTGAGGCTTTTTTGGTATGATCACTTCATTCTGTACCACTTTACCATAAGGCTCCCCTTATAGATGATAATAAGTAGTTTATAGATGCGTTATTAATTCCTCTATAAGCACTATAAATCATTAATAACTGCTTATTATGCATTATTTAAGGGCAAGATAGAGACTATATTGACCAGTTTCTTGTCATATAACAGGGGTGAAAATAACGAATTACAAATACTTACATTACTGTAATTAAGTTGATTTTTTTTTTGGGTACTTGTACTTTTCAAGCGTGTAATTTTATTCATCCTTAAGTACAATTTAGACCATGTAATCGACTTCGCTACTTTTAAAATCAGAAGTCGCTGTTGAGTACGGCCGCAGTTTGAATTAATATTCAAGCCGTTCTTCTGCATCTTTGTAGCCAATAAGGTTCTCAGATCACGAACGCTCCAATTACCTGTGATGTAAGTAAAGGACAACTCCGTAGAGTAGAGAGTCATTCATGGACTGAAGATTTGGAGAAAAAGCCAAAATGGAGACAGAGGACAACACGGTCAACAGAGAAAATGACGAGGTAAAGGCTGAGGACGAGTGCCCGTGGCCGTACCTGTAGGAATTTTTCATGTGCAGAGGGCGAAAAGGAGACAGAGTCCAGATGCAATAAATATGTTGCTTCGGCCTATACTGTAAGTCGCAGGGCATGTAAATTATGCAAAAAAAACCTGCGACTTATAGGCCGAAAAATACTGTAGTCTGCAATATTGAATATAACAACTCTAGATTAAATATATAGGTGAACGGGTTTGGCTCACTATTTAGCAAGAAACTGGTCAGTTTGTCTCTCTGTCATCCTTAATTAATGCATAATAAGCAGGTATTAATGATTTATAAGGTGTTTATAGAGAAATTAATAATGCATCTATAAAATATTTATTAGCATCTATAAGGGGAGCCTTATTGTAAAGTGGTACCCTTCATTATGTTAATGTAGCTTGTAAGTTTCTCTTTGCTCTAAATATACCACACTTTAAAAAAAAAACATCCTTACACACAAACTGCAGTCTATTCCCCAGTTGGAGTTTTAGTACATCATAACTTTGAAGTTATCACTGCGTGCTTTTTATCCAAAAGTGCATCACCCAATGCCTCGTTTGTAGTTGCATAAATAGCTTTTGCTGCTTTAGCCCACAGGTTCTGTCTGAGAGGAACAGGCTGTGACTGAATCATATTTTCCTCTCCGACTAGTCACGGTCATGTTTGCAGGAGTTGCTTGTATTACGTTAAATCTGCTCAATTTACAGCGTTTGTGTTTTCCAGATTAAAGCATCCAGAAGAGGGGGCTTTAGTGGAAGTTGATTAATCTTGTTTTACTAGTGTCAGTATAATCCTTGTCGTCGTCGTCGTCTCCTCTTTCTTGTGGAATCCTGCTGAGGCACACATACATAAGAACTCGTGATCAAATTAAAAAAATCTAATTTATTTTTAAACAAAATACATTTGAAAATACTCTGAGCTGAATAAAATGCTGTTGGTGGATTCTAAACCTTGTATTTGCCAATATTAATAAACCATGCATTTTTTAAATAATAATGAGTCCTCAGGTGGAAAATCTGCCTTTTTTATTTTTTATTTTTTGCTTTAATGAATTAAAAGCACTTTGTATGTATCAGCCTTTTAGTTTTGTCAATCTGGGGTCAGCGGCCATCGTCAAATAAATGCGGAAATCCTTTGTACTGAGTAAATGCTGCAGTCAAGCTGTAAAGAGATCAATAAGCAAAGCCTCCCTGCATTGCTCTTCAAACCTTAGCAGCTTTGTGCAAATAAATTACATTTTCACTCATCTCTTGGACAGGATGTGCAAATTCGATGGCGTTTCTATTTCAAAACCTGGTGAAAGACCTTAACTACGCCATGGAATCCCTGGTAATAAACCCATCCTGACAAATCTATAACATTTTAATGTCTTTACACTCAGGCCAATCAAATTGCCTCTTCCTGCCAAGCTGCTCCAGCCTGTCAGAAATCTTATTATTCTCTGTGCTGGTTTGAAGAACAAGCACATAAACATATCTATTCTAGTGTTTTCCTGACACGTTGTCATTTTTACTAAATCAAACGTAAAGTATCTTCCTGACTCAGTTGTTTTTGGTGTTTATATTAACACAAATGATGCCTCTTCACAGTGGAAGCAAGCCAATATCAGTTTGATTGATACTTCCTAGAGTGCAAAACGTGATTTAGACAATAAATCTAAAACAACATAACTGTTTTTGCAAATGAACCCTTCGAATGATCGCTCCAGAAACACAATACATTGATTCTCCCTCTGAAGTGTTCAATATTTAGTAAAGCATGCATCACTGCTCGTGTCTCAAATCTCCACCTCACCCTGCCAAAGAGTGAGGCAGCGTTAAAAGGAATTGCACGTCAATTTCGCCCATTTGCATTTGCTATAAGTCAGTGATTGATTTCTCGCCACCTATTCGCCTTTTTGCTCTGCATCGTTTTGCTGTGTTGACCCCCCATTGCTAATTTGTCCCCTGTAGTGGTCAGATGAGCCATGTGCAGCCCACCTGACCCAAAGAGACGGGTACCACGCTGCAACTCAAGGACAGCTCAAGGACCAGCTCTACCAAGAGATTATTAATTACTTCGATAAGGGCAAGGTAAGACATGTACCAGAAACACGCCTTCACCACACATGCACATATGTGCTTTTTATTTTGTGGAGCAGCAATTGTTTTTCTTCTTTTAGATGGATGAAGTTGCATCTCAGACCACTAAAGTATTATTATTTGGTTCCTTTAATAACCTAACCTTTTATAAAAGCCTTTGCCTGCTTCTCTTATGCTGTCCTTTATCCTCTTTTACTTTAATTCCACATTCGTGCTATGCTTGAATGCCATCTGTGCCACTCGAGAATGAGGAAAAAATCCCGCTTCATTGAAGATTGTTAATGTGCTATTCTTCAACCATTTACTGTTTTTTGTTCCCCCCCACCCCCCACCCAATAAAAAAGCACTGTTTCTGTCAGCCTGTAAACTAAGCTTGGAATGAATCTGCAGAGCTGTAGCCAATTTTCTCAGGGATGAGGTCTGAAGCGTGTGTCGTCAGAGTTGGGATGCAGCCCTGATTCCTGCCTCTCCAGCCAGCTGTCACTCAGCAGAATTCCGTCAGGGAGACAACTATTTGTATAAACAAACACACAGACCCACAAGAAGGATATTGATGCGTTATAGTGGCTGCAAAAAAAAACAACACATCAACACTCCGAGGAACAGAGTTTCATCCGAGTGTCAAAGGAGTCAGACAGAAAGCAGTCCCAGATGGTGTTAGTGCCGCCGCCGCTCTTGTTGATGGAAGGCTGATCTGAGATGCAGTCTGGACTCAGTCCACCTCCAGTCTTAGCTCAGTTCAATCAACTCTAAGGAAGTCAGTCAGAAGTCTTTCAACATGTTTCAGGGCTTCCATTCTTTTCATGGCACCACCCTTTACAAGCAAAGCTCTGGGAGAAAAGCAATTAGAAGATGGCAATGAGTTTTTGTCTCTTAGATCACAAAAAAATAATTGTGTTGGCATAATAGGAAAATGTTCACATATCCAAATGCCCAGCCTCCTCTTCATTTAAAAAAATACTTTTGGGGGGGGATAGTTTCTTTGCAATTGTAAGAATATTCACACAGAAAGAATCTATTTTAGTCCCTAGCACAGAAAAAGCCCTAGTGAACGTTCACTAATAATCATCTAATGTCTCAGATAGTGGAGTTAGGTTAATAATTTTCCTTTTGGGCTTCGGAGCTCATTTAATATGAATGATAACAATATTCAGTGACAGACTTGAACATGATCTGTTTCATGTTGCTGCTGATCTGTTTCATGTTGATGTGTTCATGCATGCTCAGACTCATGTTCGCGCTGCTGTTCAACGTAGTGTTTTTGTGCTATTAATTCAATTCAATTCAGTTTATATATATAGCGCCAAATCACAACAAACTTGTCTCAGGGCACTTTACAGAAACAATTAGTGTTATTAGTGCTTAATGTATTTTTAGTTTGTTTTTCTTAGTTCATATCTTAGATGTTATCATTGTTTTTCTGTTACATTTTGTTGTTTGATGTAACTGGGACCCTGTGTACATAATTCCGTTCCACCACATGTACCACATGTGGTGGAATGACAATAAAGAATCTCTGACTCTGATATTGGGAATAAATCTACTGCACTAAACTAATTTAAAACATATTTATGTGATAGACTCAAGTTTGTTCATGCCAGTAGTGAATTATCTTTATGCACCAGAGTTACTCATGGAGTTCCACAGGGTCTAATGCTTGAACCAGTATTTAACAAAAATGTTGTACTTGGACATAAGCCCTATTTGCATGGGATTAGTTTTACCTAGGGACCACATGCTATTTGTAATAATTACGGAGATTGTTTGTGTTGTTAATCTCGTCTGAATCGGCCATGTCAGTAATTTGTAAAGTAAAAATTCCCCTGCAAATTACCTACTATATTTTGCTGAACTCCGAGGTTCTGTGATAATACTAATCCAATGTGAATAGGCATCTCTGTGATTTGGACAGAAGTGGGCGAGATCTGATACGTAATTACTGTAGGCGGTTTTTGTTTCCTGTGTGCATTTTTATTTGCTTTTGGCAATGGAGGCTGCATTGGAGTGCATAAATAACCTTTAGTGTCCCGAACCACAAAAGCCTATCGACCCGTAACGGTCGGATGTTAGCGGGTGTAACACAGTACGCAAGTGGATGTTACGCAATATGCAGCGTGTTAACATATCCAGAAGATGTCCGTAAATTTCAGCTAAATCTCAGGCTTTGGCTATCCCATGCAAACGTGCCACATAAAAAGCAGACGAGGAGTAATTTATTTAGTACATGTGGTCCCTAGGTAAAACTAATCCTGTGTTAATAGGGCTATAGAAAGTTAATCAAAATTATTAGACATCATGGTATGACTTGGTGTCATTTGACAAAAGTTGGACTTTAAAAAAATGGCCAATAGATAATTAACAGTTTTGTTAATCAAGCTGTAAATGCTTAATTAGTGGTTATTAAAACATTATTAATCAGGTATAGTACATTGCTTAAAAAGAGGAACACTGACTTGTCTTTTGTCTAATAGTACTTCAATGTTTAATCAGTGTCTTAGAACATTTATAAATGCTTATTTTGGCCTTTTAATGTGTTTGTAAATTCATGAATAGCCTTTTTTTTTAATAAAGCATTAAAAACCCTTTATAAATGTGTATTTCTGTATCATTACTGATAAAATTATGTTATGCTGATGACACTCAGCTATACATCAAGCCTGACAAATTTAATCAGTTAGCTAGACTTCAGGCATGTTTTAAAGATATAAAGCAAATTAAGAAATTTTACTTGAGAAATGCTAACTGAGAGGTAATTTCTTTTCACTGGCACAACATAATTATATGTGCTTTATTTTGTATAATTACTTCATTCTGTAACTGTCTGTGTGCTTTACAGATGTGGGAGGAGGCAATCCTTTTGAGCAAAGAACTGGCTGAACAGTATGAGAATGAAATGTTTGACTTTGAGCAGCTCAGTGCATCCTTGGTAAGTAAATATTTGTAGCTAACTTTTAAATTTAAATTTCTATTAGTTTTTAACTGTACAAACGTGTAACCCTTGCAAGAAAAATCAGCTCTATTGAATGTTTAAATGTAAATGTTTTCAAGGATAAATCCATGAGCCATTAAATCTCTCTACAGCGGAAGCAGGCCCAGTTTTATGAGAACATAGTGAAGGTTATCCGGCCTAAACCCGACTACTTCGCTGTGGGCTATTATGGAATGGGGTTCCCTTCTTTCCTACGTGTGAGTATTTTCACCAAGTATATTCCAGATTCAACCATCAAGGTCTGTTGATTCTGTTACTCACATTATGTCCCACAAGTTCTGCTGTGTTTAATTATTTGTTCACAGAATTGTGAGCTGAATGTGAAAATGAAATAAGTCAAATACCTAATTTTTATATTTCTTACTCCATTGTTACGTTTGATTCATGGTGTATCCCTTTGTCTTTCGCTCTTAATTCTACCTGTCTGGTTTAACCCTGTTTTAAGTGTTTACATTAACATCTGTTGTCAGTTAATCCACCCGCAATGGATTGTCAAATGAACCCAGATCCAATCTATTGTGTCCAGTCAAGTGGCTGATCGCGTCTCTTGAACTTCAGCTAAAAACCATTTACTCCATAATAAGAGTTTGACCTGCATCACAAGGCATCACATCCCCACATCCATTCATCCATTACTTTTACCCGGTTCTTCCTTTTCGGGTTACAAGGGTCACTGGTGCCCATGTCCAGCAGTCACTGTGCAAGAGGTGGGGTACACCCTGGACAGATCTCCAGGTACACAGAGAGACAAACGAGACAAGCAGCCATTTTCTCTAACTCACCACCAGGTGAAAGGAAATGAAATAGTCACTTTTTAAATTGCTTTTACAACCAAAACATGCAACTCTACCTTGTTTGGATGTACAGAAAGAGCAGGTGTTAATCCAACAAAGTGAAGTCAGGTCATCTGGACTGTTTCGTTTTTTGTCGAGATGTTTCATCCTTCATCCGAAGGACTTCATCAGTCCGAGGAGCCTCAACAAACTCAGTCCCACAAGCTGCACACTCAGCATAGTGGGTTAACCAGTTTGCTGGTGATAAGATGGTTTCTGGGGCTCGCCCTCTCCCCCGTCGACTCCTCTGAGGCAGCCATAGCCAAAGTGGTTCAAAACATCAAAGTCCATGCTCAATAATCCAGGTGAAAAAAATTCAACAAAGTTCAGTCAGGTCATCTAGACGTTTCTTTTTTGTTGAGACATTTTGTCCTTCATTCAAAGGACTTCATCAGTCCGAGGAGCCACAACAAACTCAGACTCTGATGAAGTCCTTTGGATGAAGGATGAAATGTCTCAACAAAAGGAGAAACCGTCCAGATGACCTAACTTAACTTTGTTGGATTTTTTAATCTGGATTATTCAGCATGAACTTTGATACAGGTGTTAATGTTTTAAAGCACCCCTAATTTCCTTGAATGTCTTTACAAAAGAAAAATACTATTTGTGATAGTTTAAAAGGGTTTCCAGGCTTTCTAGAGGGCTTTTTTAGTATTTTAGTTTTTGGGATTTAGCTGATTTTTTACTTTTTATTTTTTGGTCTACTTTTTGCACATGACCATGGGAGCATATTGTTCAGTGTTTGTTTACAAAAGAGAAAGAAAAAGGGACCAAATAAATAAATCTCTGCCAGATAAGCACTATCTAAAACTCACGGATAGAATAAGCAGTAGGAAGGAAAAAAAAATTAAAACTCTTAACCCAGGACTGCAGAATGCATCATTTTTGAGTTGATCATCAACTGTATAACAATATTTCAGCTGACTGCATTTTGAGAGTCATTTTGTTGGTGCTAAAATGCTATTCTATATCTCAAAACTGTTATTTTTGTGAGTTTTCATGTATTCATTTAATGAAACTGGAATAAAATGTGTCTGTGTGACAGACTGTTAGGAATAAATGACTAAAGATCCTTTTTATATTTGTTATAGAGATATCAAAACCACCCAGTGGGTAACTGTACTCTCTCGCTATAGTGGTGCAAGGTCAGCACCCCTGCACCTACTGACCCTTTCAGAAGAGATCCATCTGTAAAACAGTATAATCGATTGGGAGACAGTTCCACCATAGAGAAGTTGCTCTAGGCAAATCTTTCTTCAATCGTTGTGAAAACTTGGCTCAAACTTCAATTTTTTTTGGCCAAACTGTCTCCAGGTCCTGCCATTACTGAAATAGCAGCAACTGCCCAGTCCCAGATTTGAGTATCCTGTGAGTCAGATAGGCTTCTCCACCTACTAGACTGACATAACCTCACACATTGGATGCTGCCTCTCCCAAGATATACAAATCCAGTTGGGTCAGGTCCACTAGAACTTCAAGGGCTGCCGTGGGTGTTGTTCTACTCCCTTCAACTTTTGGAGGTGAGGTGCTTCACCTTGATTAAAGATCAGAGCATCTTCTGTCAGCAAATATTCTAATGGAGATCAGCCTCAAACTCCCCGAGCACACGTGATAGGAGTTGGCATCAACTGATGAGTACTAGGAGGCCTATAAACTAATCAACTATCACCATAAACTCACCCAGTGGCTGCTGTGAATCAAACAGCAGATAATATGATTGGTCTGGACTTGCCATTTGACTGGATGCCCACTTGCACTGCTACAGCATCACCTGTTGTTGGGTGGGGCAGTGCAGTGTGTCACACCTCTTATCAGGGCTACTGCTCCTCTGGGTCTATAGCTGTTCACATCATATAGAAGTGTGCCCAGGGAATCCCAGGTCTCGTACCATAGCCTGAACTATCTAAGGCCTTGGAGGAGGGCTATGCCTGTATGCATCCTGCTAAGATAAGTACACAGCAATGTACTGACATATTTGCAGTACAAGTTGCTCTGTATGAATTACATCATCCCCTCAGCCATAGTAAGACTAGGAGGTATGTGAGATTCACTGCTTGGCCTCACTTATCACTTTACCATTGACCTTAAAGGTCAGTTGGTTCAGCTCATAGTAGGGCCTGTTCCCCAGGTCTGCTAAAGCATCCAGAGAGTTATTGACCAGGTCAAGGAGTAGAAATTGACCAGTAGCATGCTACTCAACATGAACCATCCTCCAGACTTCTTTCTGCAGACC